ACCTCTTCCTCTTGAATTTTTCCCCTAACCAGTATATAGTGGCCTTCTTTATTTCACTTGATCATTGTTGGTTTGAAGTTGAGACTTTCTGAGAATAGGATTGCTACCCCTGCTTTTTTGTGAGGTGCTGGGGCATGTAGTATTTTGTTCCATCCTTTGACTTTCAGCCTATGAATATCTTTATGAGTTAAATGTGCTTCTTGTATACAGCATATTGTTGGATTTTGTTTCCTCATCCACTGTGCCATTCTATTTCTCTTAATTGGTGAATTGTGTCTATTTACATTTATGGTTAGAATTGAGATGTATTGACTTACGTTTGACATGTTATTTACCTGTTGTAGTTTATTTCTTTTTCTCCTGTATTTAATTGCTTGCCCTATTTAGTTGGTTGCTTGTGATCTCTTTCGTGGAATTCTGATCATTTTGGTCCCTCTCTAGAACATCTTTCAGTAGCCTGTGTAGGGTTGGCTTTGTCATCATGAAATTCTTTAGCTGTTCTTTGTCATGAAAGTATTTCACTTCTCCATCAAACGTAAAAGAGAGTTTTGCAGGGTATAGTAGTCTGGGCTGGAATTTGTTCTCATAGAGGATCTGAAGTACTCTGCTCCATGCTCTTCTTGCCTTCATGTTTTGTGCGGAGAAGTCGGCCATAATTCTGATGGGTTTTCCTTTGAATGTGATCTGCTTCTTTTCTCTAGCAGCTTTCAGTAGATTATTCTTGTGCTGAATTTCTGGGATCTTGACTATTATATGTTTCATTATGTTTTTTTATTGGATTGAGGTTACTTGGCATTCTGTGTGCTTAGGTTACCTGAATGTCAGATTGTTTCCTCATATTTGGGAAGTTTTCTGCTATTACTTCTGCCCATATTTTTTGAATGTCATTTGTATTGACTCCTTTCTCATTGATGCCTTTTAGTCTCACATTGTTCATCTTTGCATCATCTTGTAGGTGATGGATTATTCTTTCCTGCTTCCTTGTTGTTTTTAAGAGATCTTTTCTTACCTTTTCACTAGCTGCACCAGCATCTTTCTATATCTGAAACTCTGTCTTCACTTTCACTTAAACGGATTTGCAAGCTTGTGATTGAGATTTTAATTTCCTCTATATCTCTTTGACTCTGCTTCATTGAATCTATTTTTTTCCTCTATTGCTCTTTCAAGGAATCCGTCATTTTTGTAATCTCTATTTTTTTTTATCAATGTCTTCTTTAGAAGCAGTTATAAATTCTTTTACTGCAGTGTGTTTTTCAGATTGGATTTCCTCCCTATGTTTCTGTAGTTGCTTCTTTACTTCAGATGCTATGAGTATTGAGAATTCTTTTTTCATTTCAGAAAAGCATTCTGCTCTGAGTTCCTCTATAACTTTCTGCTGTTACTTATTTACTATTGATGGTATTAATTCATGCATTTTAGCTGAGATAGTGTCCTCTGCACTTGTTCTGGGTGGGCATTGGGTTTCTTTCATATGTTTCTGCATTTGATTCTTTACTGCAGATGTTGTTAATTCAGGGTTTTCTTTTTTTATTACCAATCTGAGTTCCTCTATACCTTTCTGCAGCTCTTTCTTTATTTCAGAAGCCGTTGAGTCATTGCTTTCAGCTGTGTGATTCCCAATTTTTTCTGTGTTAGTGTTCTGTGCACTTGTTATGGGTGGGCTTGGGTTCTGAGGTTGCATTTTGTTTCTTTCATCATTTTGTGTAGCACTGTCTTCTGACCTTCGTTGTAGATCTTTGTTGCATTTATAACCTTAGCACATTCTGAAGTTCAGATGCAGATCTACAAAGTTTGGATTTATCCAGCTGTGCCTGGCTTGGGTCTGGCTGCTGTGCTCAGCTCCTTCCTGCTGCTGCCCTTGCAGGTGAACCTGTTGTGCCCCTCTGGCAAGATGTTCTGCTCCTGGAATAGCTGGGTGGTTCTGTCCTCTACACTCTCTGCAGGGATTGCAGCTGCAGGGTTTCACTCCAGGCCTATATGCCAGGCCTGAGCTGAGCCTGGAGGGGACAAGGTAGAGTAGGCAGGAGAGGAAGCTCTCCCACACACTTTCCAGGCCTAGGCTAGGACTGGGTCTGGGGGTACCCGGAAAGAGGCTGAAAGTCCTACTTGGTGGTCGGGGTGGAGAAGGTGCTGCTGAGTGGTGGGGGGCTTCCCAAAGGGGTGGAAGAGGGTCTCACCCATGCTGTGTCTGGGCTTGGACCAGTAGTAGGTCCCGCCGTAGCAGGGTAGCCAGAAGCTCTCCCACACACTCACTGGGCCAGGGCTAGGACTGGGTCACAGGTTGTTACAGTACAGGTTTTCTTATGTCCTGAGTCCTCCCTGACCTTGAAGGGCTAGGGTCAGGCTCCAATCTTGTGACCTCATCACTGTGAGATGGGGACTGTGATTATCCCAAGGCTGATCTGAGCACTCCCAGCTGGTTGCAGACCCAGCCAGATCCGCCTGTCCCTGGGGGTCGTGCTGGGCACAGGACTTACAGACATAGACCCCCGTTCCTGCCCTCCTTTACCATTTCAGATGTCTCTCTCGTGGAGCGCAAGCTGGAGTGTGGAGCCAGTGACATCAAGGTGTCCCTGGGCAAGTGCCACCTGAAAAACCTGGGCTTCAAGAAGATCTTCATGTATCTGCGTGATAGCCGCTGCTCTGGCTTCATGGAGAGGGGTGAACGGGATTGGATGTCTGTGGTGACCCCGGCCCGTGATGGTCCCTGTGGGACAGTGTTGACGGTATGTTCCAGCCAGTATGAGGCACAGCGTGTGGACAAGCTGCAGGTCCACCATTTACTGACTGCAGAAGTCACTTAGCCTGGTTTTGACAGCATCCACTCCAGAAAGATGTTGAGAGGATGGAGAGAGTCAGTGTGAGTGAAGTGCCTGGGATAGCGGCTAGCACATAGGAAGTGACCAGTAAGTGCTGGCTTGTGAGGGCGATTTGAGGTGATGGTTCCTCATTTTACCAAGGACCAAAGTAAGGCTCAACAACAGTGATTGCTCCCAGCTAGTCAGGATCAGCACTGAGCTGAGAAGCAGTTCTCCTGTCTCGAGGGAGCCCAGGAGACTGGTTTATCCTATTGGCAGAATGGCACCTTCGTTGGCAGAGGCCCTTTCTGATGGAAGCCAGAAGGAAACGTTAGTGTGAGTGCAACACTGCCCCCACATCCCACAAACAGAAAGGGAAGAAACAAAAGACAGGAAGAACGAATCGTTGTTATCTTCCAAGCACGAGTGTGAAATTCCAGTGGTGATGGCTTCACACTGGGATTTCTAGTCTTGGAGAGAGGAAGCATCCACTGTTGGAAGGATCTCAGTTGCTTGGTTATGGTCAACCTCTGTCACCTCCCCATCTGTACAGCAGGGATATGGTGCCTTCCTCCAAGGAAGCTAATGCTACGGCATATGAGGAGATGGCATATGCAGCTCAGAGTCTGGCACCAGACACGTGCTTTGGCTTTAAGGTGCTGCTCAGACTCTCAAGGCCCTTTCTTCACTCCTCACCCCCAAAACAGAGGAATGAAACTCATGCCACCTACAACAACACCCTCTACCTGGCAAATGAGATGATCATTCGTGACATCAACATCAAAATCAACTTCGAGTGCTCTTACCCACTGGACATGAAAGTCAGCCTGAAGACTTCCCTGCAGCCCATCGTCAGGTGCGGCCAGCCTGGAGGCCCTCCTCCAGGGCTCCCAGAAGCCTCCATCCCAGGGCCCTCCACCCCTGAGGTCTTCAGCTACTCTGTCAGCTGCTACCCCTAGGAAGCTGTGGTTGGGGGCTGGAAAACAGCATTGCTTAGTGAGGGAGCCCACCCTGGAATCCTGGAGCCCAGAGTCAAATCTGGGTTCTGCCCTGTCCTGACCAGATGGCTTTGGCAAGGTGACTGACCCCTCACTGGGGCCATCTTACCTGTGAGATGAGGACAATAGAGTTCTGCAGGAAAGAATAAAAAATTAGAGGCTCCAGATTTTCACATAGGTGGGGGATTGGAATGGAGGGAAGGTAGGGGTCTCAATCTAGCCCTGCTATGGAAGAACTGTGGCAAATTATATTCCATATTTAAACCTTAGCTTCTATAATGAAGATATCTGATTAAAGAAGCAGTTACAAGTTACACTCCTTGGAGGCACTTGGTGGATCAAGGGAGGTGCCTTATTGGGGTGGGGGTGGGGTAGGGCAACTCCACCCTATGGGTGCTATGTGAAGTCCTTTTTTTTTTTAAAAAAAAAAAAAAAAGAATGTTGATGCTAAATATAATTGAAAGTCTGAATAAGATGAATCAGGATGCTAATGTTGGGGAAAATAATAGCTGCAATAATAACTAGCATTTATTGAGAACTTACTATATGTCAGGCTTATGTTAAGTACTCTACATAGAACCTCTCACTAAAATCCTATGGTAGCCTTAGGAGGTACAGAGATGATTATTCTTTCTGTTACACTGATTGGAAAGTGAAGCTCAGAGAAGTTTAGGAAACTTGGCCAAAGTTATAAAGTCTAGAAAGTGGCACTGCAGGTCCGGGTGCTCCCTCCATTATGACCTTGACTTTGAAGCTCACCCACATGTTCTCTGGGCCAGCGAGACTCAGGGAGATGTGCCGGGCAGGGATGAGGGTACATGGCTGCCTTGGGAAAAGAAAGGTGCTCCCTGCAGGCCACTGGCCAGCATGCCACTTGGTAGAGCAGCGTTCTAGAACAGCGTGGCCACGACTGAGGTTTGGCAGGTACTAGGGAGCAGCGCATCTACGTGCAAATCAATCTAAGGTTGGAGGTGGAAATCTCACCCCAGTCCAAACTGCTAATCCATTTCTCCCCTGTGAACTGGACCTCAATGTGCTGGGTGTCTCATGTACTTTATTGTGTGACATCTGCCTTATAGTGCCATTTGGGTAACCACTAAGTGAATTTTACAAGTGTGGCTATTTTCAATGTGGTTAAAAGTAACCCACTTATAAAACCCAGTCTTCTAATGTCAGTACGAGTAAACCATGCTGGTGCCTTAGGACACTGGTCTGCCTGACTCATGGTAGCTGTCTTCCCTTTAACCTGCCCGAGGCTGAGTCTAAAGAAGGAACCTACTTGATTCCTTCAGAATTTGTTCCCTCATGAAAGCTTACATGGAAAAGCCAGGGCCACCAAGTCAGGGCCTGGAAATGTTCCTCTCGCTGTAGTCTATGGTCCCATGGCATCAGCACCACAAGGAGCTTGCTAGATGTGCGGCTTTGAGTCCCACCCAAAACCTACATTTGCACACAATCCCAAAGTAGTACAAATGCAGAAAGTTGTAAGGGAGTGTCAGCCATCTTGATCAGAAACGGTAGTCACCTGGGGTGTTCTCAGCTGGGCCTTCTCACCCAGACCCTCTCTCCTGCAGTGCCCTGAATATCAGCGTGGGTGGGACGGGTCTGTTCACCGTGCGGATGGCACTGTTCCAGAGTCCTGCCTACATACAGCCCTACCAAGGGTCCTCAGTGGAGCTATCTACTGAGGCCTTTCTCTACGTGGGCACCATGCTGGATGGAGGTGACCTGTCCCGGTTTGTACTGCTAATGACCAACTGCTATGCCACACCCAGTGGCAATGCCACAGACCCCATGAAATACTTCATTATCCAGGACAGGTAAGGCAGTGGTTCCTATGGGGAGCCTGTGGAGCAGGCTCAGGGCTCTTTGAACATAGAGGGAAAAGCTTGTTTCCCTCTTCATTATCTTCTAGCTGAAATTCGGCATTCCTTCCTGTTTGGAGGCGAAGAGCCACAGAGGGTTCACAGGGTATATAAAACTGTTTTGCTGCTCAGTACATTTAGTTACTGTAGTGTTACAATTTCCACTTGATATTATTATTTAACGCATTATCATATATGAGCATTTGCCAGTATATTGTTACATATAATATATTCAAATGTTTAAATATATAAAATGTTTTGACATTTTAAAAAGATATTTCAATGTAGTTGGTTTCCTATGTAATTTTTGTAATATTTTTTGGTGAAGATTTTATTGTATTTCTTGAAATACATTCTATTTGAGGAGAGATGGATGAACAAGGGCTGAGGGACTCCATGACTCAGAAGGTGTGAGGAACTTTATGCAAGGGCTGAGCCAGAAGAGCAGACAACCTGGCACCTGCTGCAAGGACTGAGGGGTGGGCATGGAGGGCCCAGGACCAGTTGAAACTTGGAAGACATGGGCCCCTCCCTTTTATGCAGGGCCGTTCAGTAATTGTGACCCGCACTGTGTGAAGAACATTTCATCCCTACATTACGCAGCTATTATGGAGGCTAGCTGTGTGCCAGGCTCTATGGATATTGGCTAAAACCTCGTCGCTAGTACAGAAGGAGGGATTGGTAATGAGAGCAAAATAAAAGGCACAGTATGTTAGTGATAAAGATGTGAAGGAAAAACAAAGCAGAAGAAGGAAAAGGGCACTTGCAGTTTTAATAAAGAAGGCATCTTGTAGAGCTTGTGGTCTGTCCATTCCGGTTTCAGATCTAGCATCTGCCTGGGTTCCTTGAAGGGACATTCTTACCTGGGTGCAGTCTGGTGTTCCTAACTCTGTTATTCGGTGTCTCATTATGCAACAACAAGGAAGCAGAATGCTGCTGGGAAACTTTTGCCATTAGCCACGCCTCCTATGCTCTCGCTGGCTGTGTCGTCCTCCTCACGATCACGTTCTGCCTACGGCAGCTGATGCTGGCGATGTGATTACCACTTGTGTTCATGGCCTAAAGATCCTTCTAGAAAAGAGATACAGTTCAGTAAGAATATGTAGATGAACTTAAAGGAAGGGAGAAAGTACGTAAGAATTCGTATGATGGGGTGCTTGGCACACATTTCTCAAGGTGATAGCTGGATAAAGCAAAAGGAAACAGGATTTGGAAAGCGTTGACATGACCTTGAGCGACACGTCACAGAGACCTGGGTACAGGTCTTGGCATTGCCGTTGCATTGTTCTGAGATGCAAATAAGATAATCAGGGGAGTAATTTCCTAAGCTGTGACAGATAATACCATGCAGGGAGTTTTAAACTTGTTTTCACTGAGTGTAAAGGTACAGTGTGTCTGTTGTGGAAAAATGGGAAAGTTTGAGGAAAAAAAGCAGGAGTCAGTTCCAGGTGCATGCATGCGCATTGGGTTTGGGAGTGCAAGGAGGCTGGGTTGAGGACCACCAGCTTAGGAGGCTGTCAGGGTCTCACCCCTCCTGCCATCACCTCTTGTGTGAAGAAGGGACAAGAGTGACTACAGGGGACACCTGGATGCTCTGCTTGGGTCGAATGCTTGGGCCACCAGGGCCCCTCTCTGCCTTTTGGTTGAAAGGTCTGCTTAACCTCTGGGCTATTTTTTTTCCCCATAATTTTATTGAGAAACAAATAGCAATGAGACAGTTTCAAATCAAATTGGTAGGACAGTTTCAATAATTAGCACATTGCATACATTCTTCCTAGTGGTTAATTGCTGTACAAGATTCGGACTTGATATCCTATTTACAAACACCATTAGAACAAATCATTCTGTTCATTAAGAGAATGTAACTATATATCTATCCTAACCACTTTGAATACATAGATACAAAATGGACATTCATCTGTATCCCCTATTTTTGTTTAGTTCCATCATTTAAATATTATAGGTGTGTAAACTCAGCACAATATTCTAAAACAGTTCAGTAGTCCATAAGAGTATTTGGTCTTCCGCTTCACTGGGCTTTTATATTGCTAATCAAGGTTTGCAATTTTGGAGTGAGATATAAATGATCGGGGACACAAGGGTAGCAGATGAGTGCCGTCCTGGAAGTTTCTTCCTCAGTCCTTGCCACTGACATTCAGGCTTTCTTTGAAATAAACTTTGAACAAAAGGTGTGAAATAGCAGGGGGGTACCTGGGCACCATGTTTTCCATGCTCGGTGCCTGTGCACATGTGTGAGTGTATTGCTGCTTTGAGATTTTCTTCACATGACCAGATGCCTTGTGTATGTGCGCAGCTAGGCGTGCACACGTGGGCTTGGTCAGCAGCACTCAGTTCTCTGAGGCTTCCTTCCACTGCTGTAACAGGCACATTATAGATGGCACACGCTAGCTAATAATTCTAGAATGCCATTTCCTGGGAAATCACAAAATGACTATTTTAACGCTGCGGTAATGACTTTTTTAACATTAAATATAGATAGTATCTATTAGATGTCTCATCCTGTTCTCAGCACTTTGAAAAATTATCTAATTTAATCCTCATAAATGTCTTCTGGTGTGGGCTACAATTATTATCTCCTGTACACAGATGAGAAAACTGAGGCATAGAGAAATCAAGTATGTCAAAGTCACATGGATAATAGTAGCAGCACGATGCTGTGACCCAGGAAGTCTCACTCCAGGGTCTTTGCTTAGCCAGCTGCATTCTGTGACATAACTTGTCCCTCACCAGATGTCCACAGACTTCAGACTCAACTATTCAAGTGGTGGAGAATGGGGAATCCCCCCAGGGCCGATTTTCTGTCCAGATGTTCCGGTTTGCTGGAAACTATGACCTAGTCTACCTGCACTGTGAAGTCTACCTGTGTGACACTGTGAACGAGAAATGCAAACCGGTGAGTCCCCACCTCAGCCTGTTGGGCCTGCCTCTCTGCTATAACCACAGGTCAGGGATCTCAAAGAAAACAAACATTTCTGCTGTGCTTTCGTTTTCAGCACCAGCACATAAGGAACATAAGATGGGGTGGGTGTGGCCAGACCAGAGACCTGGGAAATCAGGGTCAGGCATTGTGTGCTCAGCTGACAAACTCTCTGGCTTACCTGCAAGCTTATCTTCTAATTTCAGGGACCCATGTGCGCCTCAGTGCTTTGGCATTTTAATGCTTCACAGAAACTCTATAAAAGAGTTTATAATATATGTATACATTAGAAAACCAGCCCCAAATTCGAAGCAGGGAGAGATGTTCAGAGATTGTAAGTGACTTGCTGAGATTTTAACAAATAGTAGTGTTGGAACAGGATCTCCTAACTCTTATCTGCCTCAAGCCTCAGTCTGGAGTGGGAGGATGAGGAGTACAGCCTGCCTCCCTTTAGGATCTTTCAATTTCCCTCCCCCATGGAAGGCTTTCTCTGTAACTCTTCCCCGCAGACCTGCACTGGGACCAGATTCCGATCTGGGGGCTTCATAGACCAATCCCGTGTCCTCAACTTGGGTCCCATCACTCGGAAAGGTGAGAGAGCCAGTCCCTCCTCAGTGTTCCTCACAGGGAATGCTGTTTGGAGAGGAGGAGGGTGACAGAGTTGGCACTTTTGGGTCTTTTGTGAACTAAAGAACTGGGAGCAGGAGAACCCTCATCTGCTCATTCATTGCACAGATGTGGTTCTGTGCCTACTGCACCCTAGACCTGGTTCCAGGGCTTGGAGATCTTGTGACAAGCCATGAAGTTTACAGATCAGTGCTAGAGCTATTCAAATATTCTCACCTAGGTGTGCATAGCTGAATTGTCCAATGTGCAGTAGAGAAACTGTATAGAGGCTTCAAACTCTTTATGACAGGGGTACCAGACCTGCTCTAAGGGATTGGGGAACAATTTGGTTGAGATTTGGAAAGTAAAGTGGAATCAACCAAGAGGAAATGGGGAAGGGTGAGCAGAGGGAGGGAATCTCAGGCAGATGCTACGGCAAGGGCAAAAAGCCCATGGTAGGAAGGGCTCAGCCTGCTGGGGGACTGATGCAAGGCCAGGCAGGCTGGAAGTGGTGTGGCCACAGGCTGACCAGGTAAGGCCAGACAGTGGGAGCCTGTAGCCCTTGATAAAGCTTCTCAGTCTTTTTCCTGGAAGCAGTGGGGAGGCCCTCATGGTTCCAAAGCAGGAGAGTGGCTTGGTCAGATTTGGGTTCCAGCAGGAGCTCTCTGCCCACAGGAAGAGTAGACTGAAGGATAGCACTATCTCAAGCTTCTTGCCAGTCATCCTCCTGCCCTCACAGGTCTTTCTGTTTCCTCCCAAAGGTGCCCAGGCCATAGTCTCCAGGGCCACTTCCAGCAGCTTGGGTAAGTTCAGGCCCTTCCTGTATAGGTCCTGCTCCGGGGTGCTGCTCTGTCTGGGGCCTCAGCATGCTGAGTGGCTGGCCTGCTTGGTGTGAGCTTGAAAGAGACAACTTGCCTGCAGAACTGCCCAGGCCTGGGCCTGGCCCTGTGTGCTCTGCTCATGCTGTCTCAGTGTGCACAGAGCCACAGCCCTCGGCCCAGCACACAAGAACGCAGAACATGAAGATGTATTTGTGCATATGTGTTGACATTTGCAGACGAACACAGGATATGCACAGAGCTGACAGCCCCAAAGCTCTGTGGCTCATCTCAAATATCTTTTCCAGAATTTGCTCAACAGGTGACAAATATTTGTTGAGGTCCATTATGCCCCAAAAACCATGCTTAGTTTTGGGTGAATGCATCAGGCAAACAAGAAACTCTGTTTCTCGTATTCTTGTATTCTCAAACCACAAAGACACAGAACTGGTGACATTTTTATGTCCTGTCATTCTCACAGCTACTAAACTGGTTTGACAATCTAGATAAAAATTCCACCCAACCATTGCCAAGAAAGGCTCCTGGCACCCAGATCCAAGGGCTGTTCAACCATCCTGGAGTTTTTACTGAGCTGTTCAGCCCAGGACTAGGGAGCTCAAAACTGGAGGAATTCCTAAGGTGCTAGCCCTCTGCGAATAACCCTCAGGGTCTCTAAGGATGACCGAGTAGGCTGCGCACTGCACAAGAGAGCCCTGCTGAGAGGTGCCAAGCCCAGTGTCAGAGAAGAGACTGGCTTTTTCAAAGTAGTTCACCTAGGAGGTCACCTTCTCCCATTTTTCCACTTACAGGGACCATCTTTTTCTTACTGGTCTTCACAGCAGATGAAGCAAAGGCTTCATTTTTCTAGCTGATGAGCCCAGTGAAGGTACCCTTGGCTAATTGGTCAGGATAGAGGAGGCACTTGATGTTTATTTGTACAGAAGTACAGCAGTGTTATCCTGACCCTATAATTACTTTTTTTTTCCAGAGCTCCTGAAGATCTGGCTACCTCTGCTTGTCTCGGCCACCTTGACCTTGACGTTTCAGTGATCAGTGGTGTGAAGCCCTGTGCTTGGTGGCTCCCAGCTCACTTCCTGCCGGCCAGGAGGGGAGGTGCCAGCAAGTGCTCGCCCTTCCATCAATGTGCTCCTGTTTCACCTGCTAACTCTCTGCTTTGTGAGAAGAGCCTGTGTCCTTCAGTGCTTCCCACTCTCAAGATGGGACTTGTGACTTGCCTGCACACGACCCTGTCTCCTAGTAGAGTACGGAAAAATGATAATTAAAAATATAGCCTTTGAAGTCATTCATTGAGTCCACAAGTATTTATTGAGCATCTACTAGATGTGGACACTGTCTCTGGTGCAGAGGATCCCAAGGTGAGAAAAAGCAGCCCTGTGGAGGGCAGACAATCTGTTGAGAGAGACAAGTTCAAACCAGATTCTGCTTTGTGTGCTTGGGAAGAATACATGAAGTCTGAATTTCATCCATGTGCCCATTCACTTATCTGTTCATTCACTTATCTACTTACCTTATTCATTCATTCTTTCATTCATTCATTCAAGAATTTGCTGAGCTGCTACATGTGCCAAGCATTGCTCTTGACACCAAAGACACAGCAGAGAACACAACACAATGAGCAAATCACATGTGGTGACTGGCCTCCTGTGAGGCAGAAGTTCTGGCCTTGGTCCAGCAGAAGTGGGAGGCACAGCAGGTGGTGGCTGCTTCTATACAATGGGGACAATTATGAGGCTCTCCAATAGGCCATTTGGTTTGTCAGAAGCATTTTTGAGGCCCTATGTGCAGGTCCAATGCTGGGTTCAGGATAAGAGAGACACACTTAAGCTTTCACAGATCTCCCAATCCTTAGAATTAGAAGTAGGCACAGCCATGTTGGGCTCCGGCATGTCCTTTGGGCCCTCCTGCTATCATCAGATGTCTCCTTCCCAACCTGAAAGCTGCAGATCTATTGCAGGACCACCACAGCAGTGGAGAGCAGGCCCACTCTCCCAGTGGAGGGGAGGCTTCACCAGCAGCAGTGGGGGGCCCAGGACACTCACATCTCCCAAGGCTCTCTACACCTTCTTGCCAAGTGGGCAGAAAAAGGCTGGTGTCCCTGGGAACTGCTTGCCCTGGCCCAGCTGCTTCCCTGACCTCTAGCTGGGGCCTTTCCAGCAGAGTCAAGACCTGTGGGATTCCAGGTGAACATGTGTATATCTGTGAAGGAAGGCCCCTAGGACAGCATGTCTCCTGATAGGGGACCTCTTATCATGCACAGACTTTCACTGCGCGTTTGTACCTGTTGCCTTTACGTAGGACCGCACACTCACGCCAGTCTGTGGTCAGTTGGGCCTCACTGGCTACGTGTGGATTCAGCTGTACCTTGACTCAGGTACAGTGGAACACTGGGGAAAAATTGGAGCCAAGAAAAATACAAACGAGGCCCAGAAATGAGGTGGGCAAAGAAAACATGAGAATTCATTCCTTTGTCCCTTTGTTCCTGGTGTTTTCCTTTCCTTGCTAATTTCCATCAGTTAATTATTCAAATCAGTTAGTTATTCAGCTCATATATCCAACAAATATTTGGAGCATAAATTCAGAGCTAGGCACTTTATTGGCATCAAGGAACATCAAGTAATCAAAACAGAACCCTTACTGGTAATAGACTATTGTACAAAAGGGAGCGCATTTAGATCATAACTGTGTGAAAGGTGATAGATGGTGGCAGATACTATGGAGGAAGAAAAGAATTAAGGGTGTTGTTACAGAGGAGCATTGTTTTATATAGGATGAACAGATAAGATGTCTCTGATATGATGAGGCTGACCTGGGGAAATCAGGAAGGCAATAGAAAAGGCAAATGCAAAGGCCCTGAGGCAGTTTTGTGTCTTTCCATACAAACAGCTGACAAATCCTTGGACAGTTATATGTTCGGGGCATTACTCACTGGAGAGTACGTATACATGCTCCGTCATGTATATGTACAAGTATATTCATTTATTCAATAAGTGTTTTCATGGTGCTGGTTAGAACTGCACAGATAGGAGTATCTCTGTCCACAAAGATCTTACAGCTCCAGAGGGAGACAGATAAGTTGCCGGGGAACTGAATGTGATGGAATCAACCCCCGGAGGCCTAGAGCAGAGACGGATTTTTGGAGAGGCTTCCTGGAAGAGGTGCAAAGTAGGAAAAGGCTGGGAGACACAGCGTGGCTAGGGCCCGGAAGGGCGATGGAGAAGTTGAAGGTGAAGTGGGAACTGGCATCAGGGTCGAATGCCAGTGGCAGCACGGAGTGCTGAGAACAAGAGTAACTCAGACATGGCACTGTGGCTTCTGCCAGCAGGGCAGACTGTGGGAGGCACAATAACTCCAGGCCCCAATACTATTGCAAGTGAGTCTTTCTAAATCCTGTGAATCTGCCACAACATGACTCCGTGCCACATATCTCTTAATGGTCCCCTGAGTGCCTCTGACCTATAAAATTCTCTTGGTGCATCGGCGTCATTCTGACTTCCTCTTCCCCTACCTCCGCTGAGCTAAGCTCCTAATTCTTCTTACCCTGCCTATTTCCCTTAAGTCTCCTGCTATGCCCCGAAGGTGGGACTTTCTGTCATAGCCGGGTTGCCTAGTTACTCGCGCCTTTTACCCGCCGACGTCATTTCCCTATGCCTCCACTATATATACCCAGCACCTCCCCTGAATAAAGGAGACTTGATCAGAATCCTGTCTTGTCTCCATTTCTCACGTCTCCTGTCCTTTGTCCCCTCCTCAATTCCCCGCTCCTCTCCCAGGTGACCTTCATTGACTGACCTGCTGGTTCGAGACAGCAAACCACAGAAAGGAAGCAGATAAAAATGAAAGCAGAGACCCATTATCAGCCATGAGATTACAGTAGATGATGGATAGGGGAGAAGGGGATGTCCAGGAATTGAAAAATTTGAATTTGGAGCTGCTGAGATTGAGGGGTCTAGAGCCCCTCATCCTAGGCAGGGAGAGGCACGGCATGTGATGTGGTGGGTGGACCTGAAGTTCAGGAGAGGAGTCCAAGCTGCGGGAGCAGACTGGGAGCACAGCAGCCTGGGGTGAAACAAGCACAGTGCTTGACACCTCCCAGCAGGGATGAGGATGGATGAGAAAAATGGGACCTACCTACCAGTGCTTACAGGGAAGGCTGGAGAAAGCCTCCATCCCACAGTGGCAGCAGGAATAGCCAGATAGGTGCAGAAGATTTTTATGTTTTAGTATCCAGGATTGAACTAGGGACCTTGTGATTGCCAGGCACGCAAGCACTTGTGGCACTGAGCTATGTATCCCTGGCCCCAAAATACTTCTTTTTTTTTTTTTTTTTTAAAGGAAAAAAGTCAGGGCACCTCACAGAAGGAGTAAACAAACTCATTGATAAAGGATAGGAACAAATGACATTGCTTATGAAATGATCATAAGAGGGAAGCTTCAGCCACAGGATTTCTATCAGAATGGAGGAGTCAGAGGCAGGAGAATGAGCTGAACTGGAGCGCGGGAAGGTGCTTTGGCTAACATTTCTGGTCCTGACCTCTACCCCCTCCCCCGACCACCCCAGGCTCTGGTAACCACCACTGTACTGTTTCTATGAGGTCCATGTTTTTTAGCTCTCACACAACAGTAAGATCATGTAGTATTTGTCTTCTTGTGCCTGGCTTATTTTATCCATCTTCTTAAATGACAGAATTTCTTTTGCAAGGATGACTAGTACTCCACCGTGTGTACATACCACATGTTCTTTTCTTTTTTATTTTAGGGAAGGGTCTACAGGTTGTTCAGGGTCTCACTACTAGATTGGACTCGTAGTGATCTGCCTGTTTCCAGCCTCCTAAGGCTGGGATTACAGGTGTGCGCCACCACGCCCAGTCTCAGTTGCTGTCTCAGAGTGCCCTGGGGATGAGGCTAGCATGGCAGGCCTGATGATTGAACCACTGGTCTCTGCGCCTGCTTGCAGTAGCTTTAATTCACTGAGCTATTGGGCCAGCCCCAGAAGCAGTATTTAATGTCACCTACCACATCTGCCTAGGTCACTCCCACAGCTGGGCTATTCTGAAGTCTGCTGCAGTAAGCACAGGGGTGCAGACACCTCCCCACATGCTGATTACATACCCTTTAGAGCCATACCTAGAAGTGGGATGCTTGGATCAGGAGATAGTTCTATTTGCAATTTTTAGGGGCACTTCTATATTATTTACCATAATAGTTCCCTTCTCTCCACATCCTCATCAACTTCTCTTTGTCCTTGCTAAGAGCTGTTCTAACTGGGGTAAGGTTTTTCATTCTCTCTCTCTCTCTCTCTCTCTCTCTCTCTCTCTCTCTCTCTCCCCCCCCTTCCCCTCTCCCTCTCCTTCTTCCTCTCCCTCTTTGTATTTAGTACAGAATCTATAAGGTCTACAGGGTCTCACTACACAGATTGGACTTGTAGTGATCCTCCTGTTTTCTGCTCCCAAAGTGCTGGGATTACAGGCGCGGGCCAGCGTGCCCAGTCCCTATCACCATCTCGTGCGCCTGGGGGTGGGGGCAGCACGGCACTCTGGAGATTGAATCCCAGCTGCTGTGCTCTGTCTAAGCAGGAGCTTTAATCCACTGAGCTATCTGGCCAGCCCTTTTTCATCTCATTGTCGGTCAAAGGATGTATAATCAATTGCAGCTACATGGGAGGAATAGATTGTAAGAGACTACAGAGACTAGTGAATGATAATATACTGCTTTCTTGAGACTTTTAAAAGGCAATTTGAGAGCACTAAAACAAAATAATTCTTTAATTTTTATCAAACAAGTAAAAAGTCATCTGATATTGTTACAGCTTCTGATAAAACTGGTAAAATTGAAAAACAAGGAAATATTTTTCAGCCATTTATATATTTTCTTTATTGAGGGAGAAAAGTATTTTTTTGATTTCAGTAAAAGGTCATTTATTAACACAAAGAGGCAGATGTTGAAAGTTTCAATTTTCCATCTCATTGGTGAATCCCTTCTGATCTTCCTATGCAGAAGCACTATTTTTTTCCTGTATTTTAGGGAAGGGCCTCACTACTAGATCGTACTCACAGTGATCAGCCTATTTACTGCCTCCCAAGAGCTGGGATTATAAGCACGCGCCACCACGCCCAGTCTCAGTTGCTGTCTCAGCGTGCCCCGGGGGTGGAGCCGGCACAACAGGCCAGGGGGATTGAATCCCTGACCCCTGCATCTGCTTGCAGGTGCTTCAATCTGCTGAGCTACTGGGTCAGCCCCAGAAGCAGTATTTAATGTCACCTACCACATCTGCCAAACTATTTTCCTTTTTTCCCCTCAATAAAGAAATTGCAACAGAAAAGCCCTTTTTTCCCCGCCCATGTAGTTCTATATAGCTAATTGGCAGACCAGAAAATTACATTACCTTATTTTGGTTTTATACCAATAAAAAGTACCTTGGAAGCTCCAAAAAATTATAGCTCATGGTTGCTATATGGCCTCAGTTAAAAAAACAAAAAAGGGAACTAGGGGAGGGCATACATTTGCTCACTGCTAGATCTCACAGCCCCATCATGCATGTATACTTCAACATATCATGTTGTGATAAAAACATGCAATGTTACTGTTTAACTTAAATAACTTAATAAAATGAATCTTTTAAAAAGCAGAGCAACAGCAACAAAACAAGCAACAACAACAACAACAACAAAAAAAGCAGAGCAAAAAGGAAGGAATTGGGCTGGGGAGATAGCTTGGTGGTCTAAGTGCCTGCTTGATAAGCATAAGGACCTGAGTTCGATTCCCAGAACCATAAGCCATACTGGCCCCAGGTCCCTGGGAGTGCTATGCCAGCCCTAAAACTGGGTGTGGTGGTAATCCCAGTGCTGGGGAGGCTGAAACAGGAGCACTGTGAGTCTGAGCTGCATAGTGAGACCCTGTATCAAAAGAATAAAAATAAACCTACAAAATAAAAGGGAAGAGTACATCGTAAGTTGGGTGGGGGACCGAGGGGGCTGAAGATGCAAGAGTGGTACAGCTCTTTTCTGGCATGCAAGAAGTCCTGAATTTGATCCCCAGCACTTTTAAGAGGAGGAATAAGAGGAGGAGGAGAATGAAGAGGAGGAGGAGGAGGAGAAGGAGAATGAGGAGGAAGGCAGAGCGAAGTGGAGGCAAACGTTTATACATTTTAACAGAAGGATCAAGGTCAGGTGCTGTGCGTGTGGGGTATCTGCCAAGAATAATAGGGCGAGGGGCAATGGTTGCTTCAGATATGGCTTATAAGGATGGAGAAAGTGAGCTGTGCCACTGGGGAGGCGGGGCGAGTGGCCACACTGAATGAGGGAGTGGGCTACCTCATGGATCCAGTTCCTGTGAGTTCCACCTTTGGGGGCTTTTTCTCCATCTGCGTGCATCCAGAGTAGTATCTTTCCTTTTTCTGGATTAAAGTTTTGCTAGAAGGTGTGAGGGGACAGTGTCATCTCCATCCTCCTCATCTCCAGTAACCGTGGCTCCTTAAAGCACCCCAGAGCAGCAGATAAAAGGCAGGGGTCATTTATTTTGCAAAAGCACCAACT